ATATAAAAATTGATATTGATCATCACAACGAAATCAGAAATCACTCCCAAGACTGATACAAGACACAAATAATTCGAATTTAATTTATTTTATTTATTATCTGTTGCCTTTCCTGGTTATATATATATATATATAATGTCAATGATATAGTCTAACATTTGATACTGTAAAAAAATTTGATCTATAAAAGCCATCATTTTTGGAGTTGAAGTGAACTAAATACAATTTTAAGTATAGAACAGTAGTTATCGTAGTAAAAATTACATAAAATTGACAAAATAGCAATTGTTTGAAAGAATTAGAGCAAATATATTACTATTATTGTAAATGTTTTTTAAACGAAATGTTTTTGCAAGCCATTGAAATGATTCTAATGCGCATGGAAATCAGTGTTGTAAATAAAAAAACAAAAAATTAACAAATAAATAAATTAATGAAGAATAAGTTAATAAATAAATAAATAAGTAAATAAATAAATAAATAAGTTAAATAATTAATAAATTAAATTATAACAACGGAAAAGTAATTAAAAAATGTGACTACATGCTCTGTAAAAATTTTTAGTTTACCTCATCACCAAAAAAGATGGTAACTAAACACCTAAGTTTTTTGCAGTGTTGCACAAAATGATCCACGCATTTTTTTTCATGAAAACACTAACATAAGAAGTTTTATATCGAAGTATGCATTATTTCAGTGAAGTTAACTGTTAAAAACTATAAATCAAAATTGTATTAAGAAGAAGGAAAAGAAATCAGCATCGGGGCTTATTTTACATGCAGATTTGTTTAATACTGAAATCCCATAAACACTTTTATGTTAAAATTAATAACTTACTGACTTATAGTAGAAGACTTACTTTTCGATAAAAAGTATTTGTCTGCAAAATATTCATACACTTTTAATATATACACGGTTATTTTAATATATTATACAGCTTTGAGATTAAATGATAGAAATATATTTTTATAAAAACGCCAAGAATAGAAGTTCTATATCAAAATCAGAATCAGTTCATTGGATGTTTTACAAAATTAATGATAATATAACTGTTAATACGTTACCTGTGCCACTGTTATCAACAAATGTCTGTAAATGTTGTATGAGGGCTTTAACGTTTTCACCGAGCACATTAATATCTGCTTCTATTAGACTGTGCTTTTGTAATAAATCGACAACCCCCATCAGATGTTTTCCAGAATCCTCAGTCAGTAGTCTTCCCTTTAATAATTATAATAATAACATAAATTATCATATGAGATGAAAAAAAAAAGTAAATAGGAAGAAGAGTAATATAAAACCAAATAATAAACATAAATATGACAAGCTACAGGAATAACATAAAAAAAAGTTATGTTTCCAGCGATTATTTTTTAACTCCTCTATATTTCTTTCAGTAATCAAAAAGATTTTGATGCTTTTAAATTTTCTTTCCTCATTAGTGATTTACCATATTTTGGTAACATTTTCGTTTTTAGCTAGCTTAAATATCAATTTGCGACTTTAATGCGCTACTTTGTAACGTATTTCAAGCATGCCGTCGTTGGAAGATTTGTGTCAAAGTATTTATGGGTTCATTGAGATTTTAATTGCAAAAGATTAGTAATAAAAATAGTGCCGTTAATACGTTTCCTGTATATATCAATTTTCAATCATTTTATTTTGTCTAATTTATTATGTTAATTTTATTAATAGAAAATAACCACGAAATGAGCATTAATGTAAGGCAAATTTATTTTTCAATTATAACAATATAGTGTGTACTTAAAACAAAGACTAAGGAACAGATTTTTTTTATAGTAGTGCCATGTTGGATATTTTTGAAACAAATAAAAATAATATCTTTTATGGTACCTCTGTTTTTAATTAAAGAAAATAATACAAAAAGAAATGTAAAATAAGACCGATAAGGAACTTAACTAAATAATATTGAGAAATAATTAAGAAAAATAATTTTTCTGCATACTTTTAATTCTTCCATGGTGTCTAATATATATATCATTTCTTGGAACGTTTGCTGCAAAGTCAAAGAATCTTCAAGTCTTGAGCGACGAGCTCTCAGGAGTTCTAGTAGATAATTCCACAATCTTAAAACATTGTCACGTCTGCCAAAAAAAGCATATAAATTTAAACTTTTAAGTTATTGTGTTTCACAGAAAGTAGAAAAAAAAATCAATATATTACGAAAATGTATTTTGTTTTGAAATCAAATATCGGTAAGGTAAGTATTTTGGCAGTTATTCACCTAAGAACCGTTGGCATGTGTTTTGAGCTGGAGTCAAATAATAATGAAAATTCTTTAGTATAAAAATTTTGTGCCAGTGAGCTTAATTTTTTGATAAAGTATTGGCTTAAGTGTTTTTAAAACTTGCAAATTTAAAGAATATTGAATATTGAAAAATATTGAATATTGAATTTAAAGAATATTGAATAAAGAATAAAGAAATTGTAAATTTAAAAGGCATTTTAAAGAATTTTACGTTAAAAAAATATAGGCATCGGATTTACCATAGGGAGTTTTTAAAAATCATAGGGAACTTAACCACATAATACTGATATCCTTCAAACATGATGGAATGATAGAGCCCATTTTTTCTTTTTTGAAGAAAATTGTGTTCAATAGATCACAAGCTAAGAATAGTACCTTACCATACTGGTACTTTTTATGCACTACATAATTTTTGAGTTATTGTGGTTCATAAATAATGCGAGAGAAACACAATGTTGTAGTCTCTATAATTACAGCAAATCGATCTATAGTTTCTTTATACATTTTCTCTGTTATTTTTTAAAATGTTTACTTTTAAATATAAAAGTACAGAATATATTTTAAATTGCAGTTATTTATTATTCTTATTATATTTTTTAATTGAATTCCTCGTTGCAGATTTTATTTTAATGACTAACAGATATTTAAAATAAAGCATGATACTTCATAATCTATGATATAATTACTATTGCAATAAGATTGACACTGTTGGATCCTCTCTGTGATATATTGGGGATCACAAGNAGAAGAAATATGTAAGTTTTCACAAACTAAAAATCAAGATACAAGCTTGTTCTAAGATCAAATATGGTTGCAAGATTTATCTTTTATTGCTGATAGAACCAAACACTTATCCGATTTAAATTTATAGTTACAAGGCAATGATCAGATCATTACGAACGTGTTTGATATAATTAAAGCATTCAAATGTAAACTATTTCTTTGGGAAAGGCAACTGAAAAATGAAGATTTAACGTACTTCCCATTTTGCAACAAGAACAAATCTAGTTTAGATGATACTGCATCGTATCAAAAATATACAGAAAAAAATTTCAAATCTTAGAACAGAATTTGAAACAAGGCTTAAAGATTTTAATTCGTTGGAAGACAAATTTTGTTTGTTTTCTTCGATTTTCTCAATAAATATAGACTCAGTACCCAGTTACATGCAAATGGAAGTGCTTGAGATTCAGTGCGACTCAAATTTGAAGGCAAAAGTCATTGAAGTGGGTGTGCCTGAATTTTACGAATATTCACCGGCAAGGTTTGAAAATACTCGAAAATTCACATATGAAATTATTTCCATGTTTGGAAGTACTTAACAGTGAGAGCAATTATTTTCTGTTATGAATGGAAATAAATCTCCTGTCCGAAACCGTATTAATTACGCTCACGTTGGGTCAATTTTGAAAGTAGTCTCGGCCAATAAAATTTCTCCCGAAATAAAAAAAGATAGTAGCAGAGAAGACAGCAATGATGTCAAGTATCAGGACGTAAACAATAATTTAACTTTATATATGTTTATTACAATTCAAAATAAAAATATTTGTTTTCCATGAACATTGATTTTTCTTTCTTTTTTTTTGCGGCCCGCCTAAAGTTAGGCATTGTTTATTTGGCCCAAGTTAGCTTTTGAGTTTGATACACCCTGCGTGTAGTCTCTATAATTAAAGCAAATCGATGTATTGTTTCTTCTTATTTTTTCTCTATTACTTTTTAAAATTTTTACTTTGAAGTTTAAAAATACAAAATGAATCTTGAATTATAGTTACTTATTAGTTTCATTATTTTCTAACTGAATTCCTTGTTGCAGATTTTATTCTAATGACAAACAGATATTTAAAACAATCCATGATACTTCATTATCTATGATATAATTAGTATCGTAATAAGATTGACACAAGATTCTGCATTTTGATCATATGGTTAATGGACTGGAAGTGGTTTTATGCTTTTATAATATGGTAACATAGATTTTAATGAGTTATACGAAAATAAAATATATATATATATATATATATATTTAAATAAAGCAATTATATTATATTATATATAAAAGCAATTTGAACAAACCTTGCTTGTATTCTGGAAATATCATGGTAATTTTCAGCTTCTAATTCTTGAGCAACAGCAACAACAGCTTGGACTCTTTCTTCATAAGCATATATGTCAGTTTCAATGGCTTCGTGCTTCTTGGCGGCCGCTTCAACAGATGGAAGATCAAAGCCAAAATTATCTTGTGAAACTAGACGTTGGTTTTCACTTAACCATGCTTCACGCATACCGGACTTGCGATCGAATCTGGCAGCTAGTTGTTCAAGCTTCTCTTGCCTGAAATTAAAAAAGAATATATTAGTTTTGGACGAAGAATTAAATAAGGTTAATCAGGACTGTTGAATCTTTGCTAAAATAAAATTTAAAATATCATAATCTGCGTTTTTGCTTTGTCCACATGTTTGTATTCTATGCATCAGTTGATGAAAATACCGAAACTTAAAGTGTCGTGGGTTCAGAAATTGGTTGCAGGAGCTGAAAAACCGATGATGACGGCGAAGCGGAATCAATCATTAACCACATATGCGGAATACTTCGAAGTTTTTGAAAAAAATAAGAAACTTTCTGTATTCACGCGAACTCACAGAAAATGTGCAACAATCTTTTACAAATGTCAAACATTCATTGTTTGCGCTGAGAAGAAAAGTGCTTGTTCAAGCTAAAATTTCCAAATATTTTAATTAAATAAATGTGTTTATTATTCTTCCTTTTGCATCATTTGCATTTTGCGTCAATGTTTTTACGTTAATGAACCCACGAGAAACGATCGATCGAAGTTCTACTATATTAGGAAAAATATGCAAAAAATAAATTAAAAAAATAAAATAAAACGAAGAAATTATTATTCTAAAATTACCTTATAAGTTCTTCTCTCAAAGCTAATTCCCTTTCATGTTCTGCTTTTTCTAGATTTTCCCATGCTTTGTTGATGTCTGCTATCATTTTTCCTTCTGGTGGAAAATACATTCTCTGACTGTTTGTTCTCATGCGGCTCTGAATAGTAAACAGTAAAATTTCCAAATTTCCTTTCTCAGCAAATCTATGCAAAAGAAATTTATTAAATTAAGAAAAAAATCAAGCCAATGATAATTTTTTAAATTAATGATTAGAATAAATTTTTTCTTTTGAGCTAACGGTCTTTGAGAACTTATTTAAACTTATAATCTATTAATTTAACTTATGATCTGGTAATTTTTCGAAGTAATTATTAGAGTAATTTTTTTAAATAATGAGTAGAATAATTTTTAAACTAAAGATCAAAATAATTTAAACTATCAATTTGAGAAATTACTTAAATTTCAAATAATTGCTAAGGTCATTTTTCGAAAAAAGATATTGGGGTAATTTTTTAAAATATCGAATAGGATCATTTTTAAACTAACGATCCAAATAATTTTTAAAGCTAAAAATTTTAGGAAGAATTTAAACTTCCAACTAATGATCAGGTAATTAGAATAATTTTTTAAAATTACGATTAGAATAATTTTTTCAAGATGACCATAAAAGCAGACTATTTAAATTTTAAATAGATATTGGATATTTTTTCAAAAAATGATCAGAATACTTAATCAACTTAGAATCAATCAACTTAAGAAGAACTTAGAATCAACTTAATCAGAATATTTAAATCAAGAATTATAATGATATTTTTTGGAATAACAATCAGAGTTAATTTATAAACGAATGATCAGTTAACTGTTTAAACTTAAATAAGAATAATTTTGTTAAATCAACGATTAGAGTGATTTGTTTAAAACTTAAAATCAAATAATTTTCAACACAAAAAAATAGAATTACATTTTTTGAAATATTACAAGAGTTATTTAAATATCAGTAGTTCAAATGTTTATTCTAATAGCTTTATTTAAATTAAAAATGATATTTTTTTTAGAAATAAAAAAATGAAAATCACATGTTTTAAAGTTAACTTAACGTAGTTTATTTCAAACGGATTCCATCAAGAATAATAAAAATTTTAGAACCATTAAAAAGATCATCTTAAGTTTTAAAATTTTAAACATATAAGTAAGGATTGTTTCAATTTAATAAATTGAAATCAAATTAAATTTTAATGCAAGATTTAAAAATTAAAAAAAAATATTTATGCTGATAACAAAACACTTTTTATCCTCAGAAATTCCCTTCATTTTCTTCATAGAACTGGGAAATTTTGTTTAACTAAAGAAAAATTTCCTTTCAATTTTAAATCATTTATTAGATTATGTTATAAAATTGCACTGTAAAAAGTACTTAATTCCTTACTGTTTAAAGAATTGAAAAACATATTCATAATCACTAAGGCCTGTATTTTAATACCCTTAAAATTTTTATAAATGTTCTTAAAAGCATAAAAAATAATACCTTTAAGCAGAAAAAATATGTAATAATTAAACGAGAAATTCTATTTGGAGCCTAAGTTCCATATAAGAATAACATTACAAGAAATACTGAAAATTAAAAAGATTTTACTATGCAAAAAACTCGAAACCAATTAGGATAAAAAATTAGGAGAGGAAGAAGAAAAAAAGAGAGAAAAATAAGATATAGAAATCAAGAAGAAAATCAATTTCTTTTTATTTAAAATCTTAAAAAAAGGAAAAAAATGGTTTCTAATAATTGTTAAAAATTGTCCTCGGATAGAAAAAAAGTAGTCCGCAAATTCCAATCATCAAATTCGAATGTCATCAAAATTCGATTTGAATATTATTAAGAGGAACTCTGTCTAGATAAAAAAAGGCATATGTGTATTTACAACATAAAAAATTACTGTTACAATATTACATAAATTTTAACTGTTGTTATTTTTAGTTGTTTTATGTATTTTAGTTACGTCACTGTAGATAATGTACATTTTTTAATTTCTTGTTTGCGTTTTTCAGTTTTATTAAGTTACCATTTAATGTAATCTATAGTGTAAGTAAATGCACTCGTTAAGTAAAACATAAAAAAGAGCACTGGTAAAATAAAATCACGAAATCTTACTTAGGTGGCTTTTCTACAGTTCTATAGGAACTGAAAGCTTGCAGTTGTTGTTGCACTCCAAATAAAGAATTAGCAAATTTTCTGTCTGATAGAGCAATTATAGTTTGTTTAATCCATTTCAGAAGATTTGAGGTTAAAGTCTCATACTCATGAATCATGTTTTCATTTTGCATAGCTTGACCTACAACCTATAAAGTAAAACCATATTTCTTTGTCAAAATGCAAGTAGTAAATGCTACATTATCAATACCTCGGTTATATTATATTTATTTTACTCACTCAAGTTTATTTTTTAGATAAAATATATTCATAAATAAACGTAAGAAAATTAAAATATTTAAATGCTATAACTAACTAAAAAGCATAATATCCGTAAGAAAACCCTATAATTAGCTTTGAAATTTTGCCAAAGTTACAAAAACTATTTCCGGGAAATAGTTTAATGCCAAAGATATGTGCGTATGTCTTATTAAAATGAAAAAAAAAATTTTAAATGAGAAAAAAAAAACTACTTGTAAGCAATAGATTCTATTAATTAGATTAGTTTTCTAATTCTTCTTTAATTAATTTTTTTTACAAATTTTTTTTTATTATCTAAAAAGCTTTGGCTAAAAGGTTTTGGAATCGCAGGTTGTAGCAGTCGCGTTAGTTTGTAAGCTATGTAAATTTGAAAGCTCACGAATCTTTTATTAAATTGCGTATATGTATAATTTAATGTGTATGTTTTAATTTGAAGCAATAACAATTTTAAGTAACATAGAAAAATATACTGTTTTAGCTAAATAATTAAAAATACAATTTACTCTCGTTTTAATATAAAAGAAATTTGTTTAAATAGGAAAACCCTTAATAAGCACAAATAGAAATCGATAATGAAAAGCAGACATTATATGCAAAGATCATCATCAATGACTTCCCGTACAAATGATTATGGAATATATGTTTATAATAACAAAAACTTCAAGCCCTATATTTATATCTTTCGTGTTACTTATTTTATCATAAAGATAAATATCCCATTTATTAAAATTTTTTTTGTTCATCATACAAAGAGCGTTCTATAAAAACTGATAGTAAAACCATAAGAAAATCAAGTAATAAATTTAGCAAAAAAATAAACTATTCTGTTTAAAAATAACTTCCCTCGGATAATATGCAATGAACCCGTCATTCAACCAGCTTTTCAAAACGAGTAAAGAAGCCTGTTTTTGGAAAGAAGCCTGTTTTGGAACACTGCACAGATAAAAGAACGTGTAATTTAAATTTTCTTCTATGAAGCTTCTCCTTTAACGTCCAAAACAGCCGGAAATCGCTTAAACCAAGTGAAATTTTAATCCAGACCAAACGATATAAAAAATTGCATGACATATTGCATTTCGTATTTTAACTTCGAATCACTCACTTCCATTTTTGTAATGCTAATAAAAACAGTTTTTTCAACATATACTAAACCACGAAAATAAAATCGTCTGCTTCGGTAAGAATACGTATGAACACTCTACTAATCTTTTAAAAAATATTGCTCGCACATTTATTTTTTAGTTTCGTATTGTTGCCACTTCGTAAAAAAATAACTTATAAATTTTATGGAATGTTCTTTGTAATATTCTAGATAACCAAGCATAAGTTACTGTATAGTATTTTGCACAGTATGGCTTATATTGTATTTGTTTTACAAAAGTTTTAAATGTGAATATTTTATTTCCTGAATTCTTCTATAATTTAATATTACATTACAAAAATTTTAAAATGTGATATCAATAAGAAAATAAAGTAAAATATTTCTGTCTTACATTTCCAATTCTTCTGCCTTGCACTGTTTCAGCTTTCATTTTTGAGAAGTAGTGATAGTACGTTACGACGTATGTAATTATTGATTTTTCATCAGGATATTCTACAAATATATCTAATGGAAGATCGAAAAAAAATATTATCACACTTTTAATATAATATAATGTCAACTTAAAAGTACAAGAAAAATAAATTTATAAACTAAAAATTAATTTAAAAGAAAGAAGGAAAAAACTTGAATCGAAACAATACCTTCAGCATCTAACAGCGGCATTAAACCCAACCGTTGTTCAGCAACAGTAAAGGCATGATTCAAATTATAAATGGCATTGGAACGAGATAGTTTATCATATTGTACCAAATCGGGCCTGAAAAAAATTAATCTTTTGTTCAAAATTATAATAATATGAAGTTTGAAAACACTTTTTTTTGTAAAAATATAAAACGAAGATTTTTTTATTAGAATAAAAATACATCACATTCAGTAGTAATTGCATTTTTTGAATCAAAGGTAAATTTTTGGATTTTTCAATGAAATAGAAAAGTAAGTGTTTTGAACAGACACTTATTCCTGTTCAATTAATGATGTACTTTGACCAGAACAAGAAAATAACAGCAAAAAGGATGAGGTCAAAGTTAAGCATGAGGTTCTTAAAATAAAATTAGTTTGTAAATCAAACATACACGTAGCACAAAGAGAATATTAGGACAGATTCGAACTAGGTTTGACAGAGCAGAAGCAGATAGAAAATATACATTATAAAAAATTTTTTTTAATACAATTTATAGAGAAAACCTGTATAAGGATATTATTAAAATATAAATATCCACATTACACAACTAAAATCGTACATACATATTTTAACTGTGAATTTTAGCTTTAGTTGATGGAAAAGCTGCATTAAAGACATTAATGTAATATACCTTAGGACACCCAAGTCAAAATTCTGATGGTTTCCATTGATGGACCAACATAATCTTGATAATAACCATCAATAACTTCATCATGAATCATTACATTTTTCGACAGTAACCAACATAGGTAATCACCATAACCAACATAACATAACCAACATAAGTAATCACCATAATGTAGGAATTTGGACTGATTTATGATGGTCCAACATAAGAATAACAACTTGGTTTGTTCATTTTGAACCATCAGAAACTTCCATCATAGTTTCTTAGAAATCAAATGTTGGAACGATCATACACAATCATCATCCCAATGTTGGAATTCAGACTGATTTATGATGGGCAAATTGTTTTGATGGTATATTCATGAGGACCAACAAGAATTCTCATTCAACTATCATAGAAATGAATAGTTGGAACCATCATGGACCATCACAGATCCTCACAGATAGTTGGTCCAGGAAAATCAAACTTCTCTTGCTGGTTAACCATCATAGTATTAAAGTATCATTTTCCATCTTGGGATGAAGGAAATTCGCTGGCTTATAAAAAACCATGAACGCATAATGGAAAATATTGGATGATGGTGACCATCAAATGATATTGAACCATTCTAAATTGCCTCGAAACCAACATATACCATCAAAGTGATTTAATGGGACCATCAAGAATTTTGACTTGGGTAAGGTTTTAAGGAATAGAATACTTTAGGATAAAGTTAGACGGAATTGAAAATCAATATATTGCATTATGTTTTAATAAAAGGCTATAAAGAACGGAAATTAGTATACTGTACCTGTGCTTGTGAATCAAAGCATTAAATGCTAAGCCGTCTCTCCAACTGGTAGTGAAATTCCTGACATTGACATTAGGATAACCAGCTGTTTTCATTTGGCACCACAGTAACAATGCATCCTTCGCAGATTTTGTTTCTTGATTGTCCACTTCTTCGATGGTAATGTCTTGAATCTGATAAAGACCAATTTTTTTTAATGTTTTAATGAATGAATAACTTTCTAATCCTAAGTGATTCAATTCAATAATTTTTAATGCAGATTTGGAAGTTGAATGTGGCAAATTAAAAAAATAATATAAAAAATATCAAATTGTACAGTGACTTTTGATAAAAATTTTTTTTTTGTTATAATTATGAAATGTTGACAACGACAATAAGATGTCAATAAATTCGTGATTTTCTAGTTGAAATATCACTTTAACTACGCCTATATTGTTGAACTATTTCCATTCGAATAGCTTTTTCGTACAGATATTTTCGTATTATGCCACACCTTAATCTGTAGCACAGTTTGCGAAAAAAAAAATATTTTCTGAATTACTGTCCGATCAGACTATCCTGATAACTTTGGATCAAATGATCGGATCTTCACGTTCTGAGACTCAATCTCAATGGTTTGAGGGGATAACCTCAAATATGCTAATTAATTAGTGCCGACGATGTTTTAAGTTACGCAAAGAGACAAAAAAACAAAGTATTTCTGAATTAAACGTACCTTTTTTCGAGACGGATTTGGATTTCTGACACTCAAAATAACAGGGGTAGTCGCAATCTGGGAAATATTGTTTCAATAGTTTGATCAGGAGAGCGGTTCAAAGTTTGGACTTTGAACCCCTTATTGTCAATTTTATTTTTTACGTATTTCAAGAACTTTTTAAGCAAATTTAAAACTTTTTGCACACAATTATAAAATTCGTTTATCTAAAGATAATTCCCCCAGGCAAAAACTAACTTAGAGTAAATATTCATTATCTTTCATTATTTTATATAATAATGATCGAAAAAATTTTAAATTGTAAGGTACATAATTTTTTACACCATTTCGGCCATTCGGAACAATTTCGACCAATGAATTCTCGGAACTAATAACTTTTTCTCAGGTTATTTTAATAGTGAAGGACATAGTTTATGAAATTTTTTTCAAGACCCCAAATTTAAAATGCACGGGTTTTCTTTCTTTTCACTATTGAAAATGAAGAATATGAGCAAAATATTGTTTTTGCGATTTGCTTATGCATTTGATTAAATATTTGTTTTTACAGAAAGTAGTTGCTTAAAAGTTAAAATGATTGTTTAAATATTTTTGTTTAAAGCAATGAAAACGCGTACTGCACTTTAAAATACATAAACAGTGATGAAGAATTGATTAAATATCATAAACAGTATCATTTGTAGATCTAAATTAATGCTTAGTATGTAAACTTTTTAATTCATACTCAGTAAAAAATTTCGAATCAAATTACGACCAGCACTTTGGTGCATCAACCGCAAAATCCATTTTTACCTTGAAATATTATATCTTATTTCTTTACAGAGTAATTCAGTGGTTTTACGGTAATTATTGCTGTAAGAATTCCGGTATATCAGATTGTTTGTTCTGTAACATGCTTCGGTAAAAATGAATTTTACGGTAAAAAGTGCCGGCCCCCTGAGGTTCGGTATTTTTACAGTCATTAGATCCGCAATTTTTAACAGAGTAGTTAATTCTTCAAACAACTCCGTTGATCAGATCAAAATCGCATGATCGTTGTCTTGTTGATATAAACTCACCTGGAAACGTAAAATGATAGTCCATATAAGACCGAGGGTGAGGCGTGGATTGCCATCGACAACGTCATGCGATCCTAGATTTTCTAGATGCACTCGCTGATCCCTTAAAAACTGAAGAGCTTTGTCGACGTTTTCAAGGCAATGAATTCTCATTTTCCCTTTAGTTGGTCTTGGCTGTAAGAAGTGAATGGAATAAAAAGGTAAAAACTGAAAATTCGTTCTGCAATATTCTAAACAAAATTTGTTGTTGTTTTTTAAAATATTTTTTATTGGTTTAATTTTCAAGTTCTGTTAAACTAAAAATTAGCTTTCTCTAATGTTACTACAAACGATTTAGATGTAAATATAAAAATATAATTTGCTTGCATGAAAATATAAGAAACATTTTTACTAAAAATTGCTTAACTAAAGAAAGTTACTTGAGATAATCACTTAGAGGACGCTATAACACGGGAGAAACTTTTCAACGCAAATTCTTTTTTCACCTTCATAAGCAATCCGATTTTTTTTTATTCCAATGCCCACCTTCAAGAATGACCCACCTGGGCATCATACAGACATCTGAAGGGCAGATTTGTTGGCCACTCTTTCAGGGGCACCATATTAGGAGGGCCAACATTGCTCCCACAGTAAGGACGGATAGTACAGAGAAGGAAAGAACAGCCATGCCTTGCCCGGGATTTGAACCTAGAACCTTTCTGATGCAAAACCAGTTCCCTAACCCCTACACAGGCCGGTCGGCAATCTGTAATTAAAAATCATAGAAAAATTTAATTCAGGCAAATCTAGCGTTCTGCATGAAGTTCCAAATACTGAAAATAAAATTCCAAAATATCAGAATGAAGACAAATTATACGAAGATAACTAAGGATTACGCAATGGAGTAGTTCTCTTTCAATAATTTGTTTTCATTTTGACATTTTGAAATTTTTTTTTTCAGCAATTGAAACTTCATGGCTTACTCTAGGTTTGCTTGAACTCACTTTTTATACATTTTAAATTACTTATGGAGGTAAAAAAGATTTTGTCACGTAAAGTTTCTGTCGCGCTATAGCATCCTCTTAAAAGCAGAAAAGGAATAATGGTTAAATGCCTCAGAGAAGGGAAGTGTAATCCGGGGCTAAAGAAAATAGAAGGACTGGTTCACTCCTTTGAAGTAGCTCTCGCCGCGCCAATCCTCCGATTTTCTCTAGTGACGTCACTTTGGCGCAAAGTTCGCACTTTTACTTCAAGAACACTAGCTCTAACTAATATTGGAGCATTTCTGTTTGCGAGATATTCTAAGACATTTGTTATTTTCTATAATGACTTTCCTCAGTTTTTGCNGACGTCACTTTGGCGCAAAGCTCGCACTTTTACGTCAAGAACGCAGCGTTCGGCCTTACTAGCCCTAACTAATATTGGAGCATTTCTGTTTGCGAGATATTCTAAGACATTTGTTATTTTCTATAATGACTTTCCTCAGTTTTTGCAGTGAATTTACAAGAATTTAAAACTATTATCGAAATGCCAGTTTGCGCGATTTTGATAGAAAAACAAAAGGAAAAAATATAATTTTCCGCGTGTTCCCTAAAGTAAATGAACAACTATGTAAAGAATGGATTCCGAAATGACACAGTTAATATAAAACCGCAATACGTTTATTCTGTCGTAAAGAACTTTTATAAAAATTCATTATCTAAATAGAAACCGCCTCGCTACTTCATAAAGAAAGGCAGGTGAAAAGAATTAAAAAATAGATAAAGTCAAAGAAAATTAAAATGTAAGTAAAAAGTATAAATAAAATATATAGTATATAGTTGAAATTCTCCTAATTTCATAACATATTTTTTAATGTAGTTATTCTAAATATTTATGATTTTTTTTAAAAATTATATTCTCTTCAATTTAAATATCTATAAATTATATCATCGTAAATTTAAATGTCTATAAACAATTGTAAAATTTCTAATGTCATTATGAACCTAAATTATTATTTTGTTTCAGTAATTAGCGTTTAAGGTTGATGTTTCCTAATGATTAAGTATGAACAAATTGCTATTAACGGCATATTTTAAAATCAGGGATTCTAAATTTAACTCAACTTATTGTTATAAAAGAATATGTAGATAAAAAAAGTCTCGATATATGCTTTCATTTTTCTTAATAATTAAAGTTAAAACTGAACTTTTTAAAATAAAGTATTTATAGTGTCATTTTCGCCAACTAGTAAAACACTTTTATTAGTTTAAAATGGCATTTTTTTCAATATAATGGCCACGAAAGTTTTTTTGAACTACGTTTATGAATGGCAATAATGTGTTACTTACGTAAAATTTGAAAGCTAATAACCAGAAAAAGTCTGGACCTATTTTCACAAAGAGAAAGATGCAAAGTTATCATAATATCTTTGCTTACGATCTCCGAGATCTGTGGACACAGTGACGTCATGAGGAGGGAAATCGTAGCTTCAGCTCTAAGNAAGTTATCATAATATCATATTATCATTTGCTTGCCATCTCCGAGATCTGTGGACACAGTGACGTCGTGAGGAGGGAAATCGTAGCTTCAGGTTTAAGAGCGGAGTGAACTAGCCCTTCTATTCTCTTTAGCCCTGAGTGTAATCATTGCAGGGAAGAAGTCAATTTAATTCAATTTAAAAAAGGCATCAACCGATATTTTTACATTCCACTTCATATAATGTAAGTGGTAATTATTCTAAGATAAAAAATTTATTATTTGCAACAAAATATTCTTAAATTTTTTTCCCTTAAATGATAAGAATATTTAAATTTTAATGATCAAAATCTTTATAAAATTTGTTTTTAAATCAATATTTATCCTTCGTCAAATAATTAATTTTAGTGAACTATTAACCTGTTAAAAATTCAAATTTTTTTTAGTATATATTATCGGAAAAAATCTATGGGTAGCATAAAGAATGAGAATTTGAAAAATTTGATGAAATAGTTGGTTGAATAGTTCTGTGAATCACACGTGGCCAGGTAATCCAATTTTAAAATTATGACGTTAAGACTATGTATCAAATGCAAAAATATTTTGAGAAACTAAAAATATTGGCTACGTATTAGACAGCTCTTTGTTTTGTATCTTCATACTCTTTGTAGTGACTTTTAAAGCATCAACACTATTTCAGATAATGATTTAAAATCTTAGGGTTCTTTGTCGTCGATTAGACTAGTCTTTTATTTAGATGCCAGGGGCCGTAGTCCCCCTCTTCGCGCATATGATCAAAATAAAATGCTTTATTGAAATCATTAAATTAAACTACAAAGCACTTGCTGAACACATTCTTGACCGAGGAATTTACAGAGCAATGTGGCAAATACATTAAAATTACTTGTCCTTAAATTATATCATAAAAATTTAATTCATGCTGTGAACAATGATATTATAATATGATTTATTCTATTATTGATTAAAATAAATGATTTTTTGAATATTCAAAAAATTTCTAAATCTATATTAACTATTTGGAGACGGCTGGTACAACAGTTGTACCCTAAATATTGTTTTATTTACATTATGTCTTTTTTTTTTATACAGTATTTGATATATAAGAGACACGTTGAGAGACAGTTGGTTGAAAACAAAACAAATATGGTATCATAAAAAGTTAATATCTCTTCATCTAGAAAATACTTTTTACTACAAAAAAGACTTAGGGTACAACTGTTGTACCAGCCGTCTCCAAAAGAAACTATAACTACGCATCGATTAAAAAAGCAATTATAATACTCACCATACGTTCACCAGACAATATTTCAAGCAACTTCATGAGCAGTTTCCCATCTCGCATATCTGCATACAAATCAGTTATGCGACAATTTGCTCTTAAGAGATGAGAATTAACCCATTTACAAAATGTTTTCTTCTGAACATTTTCTCTCTCATCTAATAAGAGATATTAAAGTGTTAATTACTTTTATTTTTCTTTACATTCAAGAAAAAAGCAATAATAATAATAGTAATTAATTATTATTGTGCACTTTTTCTTCATTAATTTAGCATTTTGTTACAAATATTATTTTTTATTTCAATTGGTACCTACTACCAAAATTAATAAATTGTAATTCTCAAAAATAATTATTAACGACACTAATACTTTTAGAGTCATTTTTGGCAAACCATCTAATATCGGTACTTATTTCAATCAGATATAAAAAATTGCCAAAATATTATTGACGCCAGTGACGCATAATTAAATGTGGCATTAAATATTACTGGTATATATATATATATATATAGAAAAAGGTCTTTTCAAATCACTTATTTTTAATTGAATAAAACAATTTGCACATACATACAANGTTTTCGTGAGAATGACCCATATATATATATATATATATATATATATCTCCATGGCTTAATAGAGAACTACAAATTTGCTTTATTACTTCTTGTTGAGTTTCCATTACTTGAGTTTATAGAATCACTCTTTAATTAACGAAAAAGTATTAATGTATGATACGCATAATCATGTCTTCGAAAGTATGTATACCAAATACGTTGTGGATCGGTTCAGAATTGCGGATTTGTATTAGGTACATGCATACACACATACATATGAACATTCTGCCCTAATTAAATAGATTGATAAAAAAATTGATAATAACAATTATTTAATAAAACTATTTCAAAACAATTTAAACAATATAATTAAATCAAACATAATATATTCCTTTGCAGTCATTTTTTCTTCCCGCCCAAATTTATTCATTTCTAACTAGCCTAGATAAATACATAACTTTCAATGCACGACTGATACGATATATAAAAGTAAACGTACCTTGCAGTTGCTTTATTAAGTCTTCTAAATCGTCACTCATTTTTAAATTGCAAATAGATTGATTAAACTTAGTTTTTAAAAGCTCATATTGGATATAAACAGATGCTCAAAATGGGAACGTTTCCTATGGTAAAGGAAGAATAAAGTCCCAGACAGGAAACAATGCTGCTCATTTCCTTTTGACTCCTTGCAAGTTTAAGAAGCAAACGTTTAAATTTTCGTCAGTTGTTTTCGTTTCGTTAACATTTAACTGTAACTGTCTTTCTTATTAATGCTTTCAGATTTTGATGCAATTTAAGAAATCTTGTTAAACCACACAAGTAATTGTATTAGCGCATTATTAAATCATTTCATTTTTTTGTTCGGTATGATTTAATTAAAGTTATGTATTACAGTTGGAGTTATGTAATGTATAACTCTAAATTAGTAATGTATCGCTCTAATTTAATTTTAATTGCTCTGAACACAGAAAGTTATTTATAAGTCTAATCTGATGAAATTTTTAAGATTCCCATGACAAAAAACTTATTTAAAGGTTTTTATTTATTTAAATTATTTATTTTAATTTATTTATTTAAATTATTTATTTTAATTTATTTATTTAAATTATTTATTTTGATTATTTATTTAAAATTTTTTTAAATCTATTTTACAGAAAAAAATTGAGTTTTTAATTGAGTTTTATTTTTGTAAATTTTAGGAAATTTATTTGAAATGTAAGAAAATTGCAAGAATACATATGTTGCATATAAGTAAGCATTTATGAAAAGATCTGGAAAATGAAGTTCTTAGAAATCTAATAAAATTTATTGGTAGAGGGCACAATGCTTAATTGTTTTATAAAAAAAAGAATTCGTGATATTGATAAAAAAAATAAATAAACGAAAGTCAGAAATATTACCTTTTTTGTGAGCAATTTCTATAAGAAATGAAATATTTCGTGATACAACGTAAAATGAGCATACAATTGGTTCAACATGAAATAGCTTTTTAAAATATTCTGTTGCTCCATTTTAACTAACATTTAGCTATAAAATCTAAAGAAATCAATTAATTTTGAAAAGTATATTTAATTTATTTATAATGCAAGTTGTATAATGCAATGAATTCAAAGTAAAATGAATTTATCAAGCTACTTTATATTTTACCCCATTGTTAATCAACCACCTGTCAGTGGTAGAATATTAATATTTGTAGTAGAATTAATATAAATTTTAATTACATTTTAAATTTTTTTTGGCACAAAATATTTTCAACTGTGGAGAATATGCGAATAATCGGAGACAAACTGGTCAAGTGCCAATAGTGCAAATTACTAACCTTACAGGTCTGCTATGAAACTCTGAAATATATTACCGGTCCTTCGAGTACATATGGACGAAAAANTTAGAATTAATATAAATTTTAATTCAATTTCAAATTTTTTTTGGCACAAAATATTTTTAACTGTGGAGAATATGCGAATAATCGGAGACAAACTGGTCAAGTGCCAATAGTGCAAATTACTAACCTTACAGGTCTGCTATGAAACTCTGAAATATATTACCGGTCCTTCGAGTACATATGGTTGAAAAACATTGGTTTAAGCAAATTATTTAAGATTTTATTAAAATTTAAATAACTGAAATCAATTTACATTTATACAGGGTTATTCATAATTCCCTCCGGTGTTTCGAAGCGTTATAGTAAAAAAACGAAGACGAATATGGCAAAAAAGAACATATTTGATTCNTATTCCGAAACTATTATAGTTTTAATTTAAGCAGTTGAAGGTAGATGGCAGTAACATGTACCACTGAAGCCAGTTGTAGTAAAGAAAAATGGCGTTTACAGGCGGAGGGAATTATGAATAACCCTGTATAAATGTGTGTATTAAAGTTCAATTAAAAAAGTGAGGTAAAATTAAAAAAAGAAATACGAACCAGCTAAAACTCGAATTCGAGATCGTTCGAAAAGTCGCGATGAACTATTGCCCCCATCATATTCAAATTCATCCATTTCTCCTTGTGTAGCGGGATCCCATCGGACCCCGACTACTACGTCAGTAGTCATTATTGAAGGTAAGTTATTTTAATCTAAAAAAAAAAAGAATTTGAAATCAGAAAATACACAAGTAAAAAAATACAAAAATGTAGTATCAAATAGTAAAACACACACATGATAATAATAATAATAATATATTCCTACAACTTTACGAGAAAAAACATTCATAAAGAAAATAATAATTTTGCACAAAATATTCGATAATTATGCAAATAGTTTAGAGGAAGCTATAGAGAGGAAAAACCCTTTCTGCAATTCTCTTTCAATTTCTCTGTCTCTCTCTTTTATTTATTTATTTACAATTTTTTTTTTTTTTGGTAATTTAAAAGTTTATTAAGTACAGAAAAAGGAAGTTGAAGTTTATCGTAGATTAGGAAGCCTCAAATGCTGAAAAAAAATCAATATATTAAAATGTGTATAAATTAAGGTAGTATTACGTTGAGAGGAGCCGGGATAGCCTGGTCGGTAGGGTGCTGGGCCCATATCCGAGAGTTCGCGGGTTCGGCTATTAATTCAGCAATTATTTGTTAGTATTTTGATATTTTGAATTGTTTTTTCAGGATTTGAAACTTCATGGTTTACTTTAGACTTACTTGCTGATCGGCCTGTGAAGGGGTCAGGGAACTGGCCTTGCATCAAAAAGGTTCAGGGTTCGAATCCCGGGCAAGGCATGGATGTTCTTTCATTCTCTGTATTATCTGTCCTTACTATGGGAACAACGTTGGCCCACATAATATGGTGCCCCTGAAAAAATGGCAAACAAATTTGCCCTTCAGATGCCTGTCTTGAAGAAAGGTCATTTCGCAGGCGGGCATTGAATAACAATAATAAATAATAATAAAATAAAAAACCTGAGGCTTACATAAACTTACTTTTACTGAACTTTAAATTTGAATTTTGTTGGCAATCGAGAACTTAGCAAGAAGGGTTTCTCCTGATATACTGATGTAATCTATATTTTTCGAAGTACCTAGCCCGAATATCCTGCCACCTACCGTCCTGCTGTATAGCGTCCTCTCAAGGGCTCAAATTAAAACTAACAGTAGTCATAGGCAGGGGACGAACCAGGTTTTATCTTTCGGAGCCGACTTTTGTGAAAAAAAGTAATTTTTGTCACAAATGGAAAATATTTTTGTGAAATTTTTTTTTCCTGAAATCATTCAGCTTTATAATTCACTATATTTTATTCCAATCTACATGTCTCCAATCCACATGTACAATATCTACTTCCAATCCATGTACTTCCAATCTACATGTACAATATCTACATGCTTTTTCCGATTGTTTTTTCGTTCGCTTCCCTTGGTTTCCCAAATTAATCCCGTCACACTTAATGCATTGTTACGATGCACGAATTTCGAATTTAACGATTTGTGACAATTGAATCGCAAATTCACGTCGTTTGATATTTTTTTATTATTTTTTTCGGCCCTTTTCACATGGTTTTTCAAATTCTGATATTTTTACTACGATGTTATAACGACGTTCGAATTTCGATTAATTACTTTCTAACGCGTTCGATTCGTGACGATTCAATCATAAAGCCACATCGTTTAGTAATAGTTTCTTCAGAAGTCATTTGAAAAAAAATTTATTTGAAAATTGTTCAAGAAAAATGTCATAACTCTAAAATGCAGCATTTGAGAAAAACCAACTTAAAGAATACGATAACCCTTATTCTGAATGAGACTCAAAACTGTCACAACTGCCCTCAGCTGGATAAATTGCGAGTTAGAGATGTGACACTTTTTGAACTTCATACAGGGGACACTTCATACATATTTTTTATTGACATAACCTCAAAATTGCTGTTTTTCGAGTTGTGGCACTTTTCTTGCAAGGGTGCGATATATATATATATATAAAAATTACATTATTGAACAATTGACAGCCCAAAAACTTAAAGATGAAAAGATTATTAAAGATTTTGGAATTATAACTGCAACAACTTACAAATTTTAAAAAAAAGAAAATAATTCTGATTTAATTAAAATAGCGAATTAATTAAAAATTAATTAATTAATAAATTAATGAATTGATAAGAAAAATTAATTAACGAAAATGATTAGACAAACGTAAACTGTTAATCTAAAAAAATTATACTAAAAAAAATAACACAGAGTTTTGCAAAATAATTAATAAGAACAGCAACTTAAATAACTGTAATGTGATATATAACAAAAACAATTGTAAAGTAAAAGTTATACTTTTGATGATTTGAACATTATAGCTTTCTATGATCATTAAACAAAGGCATTGAACAATAAATCTTTATCAGAGAATTGATTAGGAAGCATTAAATTATTTTTAAGAAAACTAAATGAAATATTATTCCAATACCATATAATATTACTTTAAAATATATTATTTTTAATTTACTTATACAAAATATATGAAATTTGAAAAGATAAGAACTATTACGAGTCATTAAGCAACAAAAGAATTTTCTACATTTAGCTATTTGATATTTAGTGTCAGATATATTAAACAGCATTTGATATAATTTTATTAGTTAAATATTACTTTATGTTTTTCTAAAATATTTTTTTATTGTTTCTATGCATTTACAAATCGATTGTCGACAAAAAAATATAACTTGTCTTACTTCTAATTTCAATGAAAAATTATAAGAAATATTAGAAATTTGATTCAAGAAATTAAAACATTAAAACTTACCAGAGAATTGATTACGATAGATTAAATTATTTTTAAGAAAACTAAATGTAATATTATTTCAATACAATATAATATTGATTCGAAATATGTTATTTTTATCTTATTTCAAGAAAATATATGAAATTCAAAAAATTGAAAATTATTACGACTCCTTAAGCTACAACAGAAGTTTCTACATTCTGCCTCTTGATATCCAGCGTTAGATAGATTGGACAACATTTGATATAATTTTATTACTTAATAATTTTTTATTTATTTTTTTATTATTTGTAAGCATTTATAAAGTGATTGTCGACGAAAAAATATAACTGGTTTTACTCTCATTGGTCGAAATTTTAATTTCAATGAAAAATTATAAGAAATGTTAGAAATATGATTCAGGTAACCGTTTATACAGTCTTATGGCATATAAATATCAAATTATTGGAACAATGTGAATTTTCTTTCATAATTAACATGATAAAAAATACACTACAAAACATACTACAATATGTAAAAAAAATGCTAAAAATTAAAACAGATCTTTTTATGCAATAATAAATAGTTAAGATCAATTAATGGAATTTTTTTCGAAATTTTATGTCTTATTTATGAGTTTACTTTCATTTACATAAGTTACATTTTATTATTTAAAACTCTGATCTCAGGAAAATAAGCTACGCTTTTCTTAATTTCGATATTAAATTAAAATATAGCACATTAAAATTTAAATTATTTTGAGGAAAACGAAAAGAAAATTTATTTCAATACAATATAATATTATATTATACTATTACTTTTGGCATATTTCAATAAAATTAATAAAATGTTACTAAACTAAAAATTTCGAAGTCTCTTTAAACAACAAAAACATTTGAGACGTATAGATTAGACTTGATAATTTCGAACATCAAATGAAGACATTTAAACTTTAAATGAAGAAAAAATCGTAGAGAATTATATTATATTCATTCAGAAAATTAATTAAAAATAATTTCAACACATTACATTAAACAATTTTATTTTTCACATATTTCAACAAAATTGATAAAATGTCTCTGAAATAAAAATTACCATGGCTCTTTATACAACAAAAGCATTTGCTAAATGTAGGTCACGCCTAATAAATTGAACATAACATTAAAACATTGGATATTTAAAATTAAAATGGAGAAAAATTGTAAGGAATTAAATTAGATTCAAGGCAAATAAGTGAAAAATAATTTCACCTCAATATAATTCTGCGATAAAATATGATATGTTTAACACATTGCAACTAAATACATAAAATGTTAAAGAAATAACGAGTATTAAGACTCTAACAAACGAGTTTTTCATATTAGAGCTACCTTTAATCTGAACAATAAATCTTACAGTAAGTAAATATTTTAAGCTTATAAAATTATGCTCATTGTCAGGTATGCTTAGTTGTTTGAATACCTAATCCAATTCTAATTCTAATTAAATTAAATTAAAATGGATAAAAAATTGTAAAGAATTAAATTAGATTCAAGACAACTAAATGAAAAATAATTTCAACACAATATAATAGTATGTTAAAATAAGCTGTGTTTAACGCATTTCAACTGAACACATAAAATGTTAAAGAAATAACAGAGTATTAAGACTCTTTAAGCAACAAACGAGTTTACTACACAAGAGCTACCTTAAATCTGAACATTAAATCTTACAGTAGGTAAATATTTTCAGCTTATAAAATTATGCTTATTGTCAGGTACGCTTAGTTGTATGCCTAATCCAATTATAATTATAATTAAATAAAATTAAAATGGAGAAAAAAGTCTGAAAGAATTAAATTATATTCAAGGCAACAAAATGAAAAATAATTTGAACACAATATAATAATGAGTTAAAATACGCTATGTTTAACATCTTTCAACTAAATGCATAAAATGTTAAAGAAATAACGAGTATTAAGACCCTTTAAGCTACAAACAAGTTTTTATATAAGAGCTACCTTTAATCTAAACATCAAATCTTACAGTAGGTAAATATTTTTAGCTTATAAAAGTATGCTTATTGTCAGGTATGCTTAGTTGTATGCCTAATTCAATTTTAATTATATTTAAATGAAATTAAATTGGAGAAAAAATCTAAAAGAAATAAATTATATTCAAGGCAACAAAATGAAAAATAATTTAAACACAATATAATAGTGAGTTAAAATATGCTATGTTTTGTTTAAATATGCGTTTCATGTGAGTTTAAATATGCATTTCAACTAAATACATAAAATGTTAAAGAAATAACGAGTATTAAGACTCTTTAAGCAACAAACGAGTTTATTATATTAAAGCTACCTTTAATCTCAACATTAAATCTTACAATGGGTAAATATTTTAAGCTTATAAAAGTATGCTTATTGTCAGGTATGCTAAGTTGTATAGCTAATCCAATTCTAATTATGCTAAATTAATGCCCATGAGTCAGAGAACAAATACAAACAAACGAACAAACATACCTTTATGAAAAAAAGAGTGTATTCCAAGGTATATATCCAAATTAGGAAATTAGTGAAGAAGAAATAAGGGGCCACAAATGAATGAAAGCGCTCATAAATGAAATTGCACTAGTCCACGAAAAGATTTTAGTTAGGGTGGGGACATATCCCGATTTAGAGTCAGGAACGCGATATTTTTGGTTTCGAGAGACGAGGCGTTTACCCTGCTTCTGACGCTACATGATGACTTCGAAGACATCCTTGACAGCATGATCTCAGCGATGGGCTTTCACGCGCCTGTGTGTTTCAAACAATTTTCATTGCCAACAACCGTTTTCAAACACAATTTTATGCATCAGGAAATGTTTTTATTTGTAATAAACTCAAAATTAATAAAAAAGCAACATTCCTAAGAACTTATGATCTCATGATTGGATTGACACAAAAAACAAAAATTAGCGTTGTTTTAATTTTAATTAGAATGGATGACTTTTCCGCACTAAAGCGTTGAGAAACTAAAATATTTATTTTTTCCGACCAACCGGAGTATTCAGAGGGCATACATCCCTAATAACTTATGATCTAATGATTGGATTGTATCGTATTAAGAAAAATTCATTTATCAAGAAATGTTTTCATTTGTACCGAATGCAAAAATAATAAAAAAGCAACATTCTTAACAACTTATGATGCAACGATTGGATTGACACATATTAACAAAAATTAGCGTTGTTTTCATTCTTATTAGAATGGATGACTTTTCCGCAATAAAGCGTTTCGAAACAAAAATATTAATTTTTTTCCTACCAACCAGAGTATTCAGGGCATACATCCCTAATAACTTATGATCTAATGATTGGATTGTAACGTATTAACAAAGATTCATTCATCAAGAAATGTTTTCATTTGCAGCAAGCGTAAAACTAATAAAAAAGCAAGATTCTTAACAACTTATGATCTAATGATTGGATTGACACATATTAACAAAAATTAGCGTTTTTTTTAAAATTCTTATTAGAATGGATGATTTTTCCGTACTAAAGCGTTCCGAAACTAAAATATTTATTTTTTTCCGACCAACCAGAGTAATCAGGGCATACATCCCTAATAACTTATGATCTAATGATTGGATTGTAACGTATTAACAAAAATTCATTTATCAAGAAATGTTTTCATTTGTAGCAAGCGCAAAATTGATAAATAAACAACATTCTTAACAACTTATGATCTAATGATTGGATTGACACATATTAACAAAAATTAGTTTTTTTTAGAATTCTTATTAGAATGGATGACTTTTCCGCAATAAAGCGTTCCGAAACTAAAATATTAATTTTTTTCCGACACCAGAGTATTCAGGGCATACATCCCTAATAACTTATGATTGGATTGTAACGTATTAACAAAAATTCATTCATCAAGAAATGTTTTCATTTGCAGCAAGCGCAAAATTAATAAAAAAGCAAGATTCTTAACAACTTATGATCTAATGATTGGATTGACATATATTAACAAAAATTAGCGTTTTTTTAAATTCTTATTAGAATGGATGAGTTTTCCGTACTAAAGCGTTCCGAAACTAAAATATTTATTTTTTCCCAACCCAGCCAGAGTGCTTAGGGCATACATCCGTAATAACTTATGATCTAGTCATTGGATTGTAAACATATTAATAAATTTTAACAAAAATTTATGTTGCTTTCATTCCTATTAGAATAGGTAATTTTCCCGAAGTAAAGCGTTCTAAAATTAAAACCTTTATTTTTTTGACCTACCTGAGTACTCAGGGCATTGTTAAACCATGTGATTAAACCATGGTAAGTCTCTATTTTGATGTTTTATATTCTTTACACTAAAAACGCCATCGCAAGGTTTTTCTCATTTTTAATCACTTTCGAAACAAAAATTACTGAAGTGCTGTGTGAAAACTGGAAAAGTGTAGTGAGAAAAAAAAAATGGTCAAACTACCAGAATATGGTAACTTTTACCGTGTGTCTGGCTTTATAGAACACTAAAAAGCTCAGTCATTTTTACCAAAGCGCTTTGGTAATAATTTTGGTGAAATTAATAATAAAACCTTGCTTTATAAACTGTGATAAAATTTGGTAAATTGCTAAAATTTGGTAAATGCGATACAATTTGATAATTTTATATTAGAGAGGGTGGCATAAAAACCATTTGTTCCGTTAAATTTACTTTTCAGTTATGTTATGCAGTTATGTCAAACAATGTTTTTCCGTAAAAAAAAAATAAAATAAAAAAAAGTGAAAAAAAGGGAGAGAGTGAGAAAGAAGGAAACTATAGCAAATGCTCTTTAAAAAAAAATTCGTGAAAATATTAAAAAAAAAAAAAAAAAAAAAAANAGATTTTCTTTAAGTATATATAAGTTGCGCGAAGTGCTTTACAGCTTTAAAAATACTGACATAAATCAGAACTAGATACGAGAACGAAATAATTTATTACGCATTTAAATCATTTAGTCAGAAAAATAATTGCAAAAAAAGGGGGGAATAATAAGTAAAAAAATAACTAATAACAGTTTAAAAAAAAAAGAAAAGAAAAAGGGATGAAATTTTATTTAAAAAACTGAAAAAAAAAATATATATATATATATATTCTGTACCTGCATGGACAGTTATCGAACCGATGACCCTCCTGGAACATTACACATAATATTAAAACTACGCCACTGTCCATCCTTAAAAACGGCTTTGTACGGTATTGAAACTATTTATTCGGTAACTTTTCCATTCATATGAGAATGATTTACTGTAAATTCTGGTTGGTTTTTATAATTATAGTTCTAATCACTACTCATTTAGTAAAAAATACGAAACTTAAAAGTAAATTTAACCGAATAAATGGTTTTATTCCATACTCTAAGGTATGAGAAAATTACCAAATTTTATCACAGATTATAAAACCATATTTTATCGACAATTTTACCAAAATCATTATCAAGGAGCTTCGGTAAAAGTTACCTAACTTTTGGAGTTCTCATTGAGCCGGAAACACGTTAAATTTTACCATATTTTGGTAGTTTTAATCATATTTTTTTTTCTTAGTGCAGGTAAGACTGATTTATTATATAAAATAAATGAAGAATATAAGAAAAATATTAAAAGAAAAGTTATATGTGAAGCTTGAATGTGGAAACGAAAAGGAACACTCTAAATTTCTTTTTCGTCCTTCTACTTTTATGATCATTTGGAAAAAAAAAAAAAAAAAAAAAAAAAATTAAAAANAAAAAAAAAAAACGCTTTTTACTCAAAATTAGTTACGTATAATTTATTTTTTCACAAACATAATAGTACGTTTTTATCGTAAATCAAAGCTTATTATAGGAATTAAGATATCAATACTTCTTCAAGATTCTTTTGAAGCGGAAGAACGAATTTTAATAATTTATTTTATCATTATTATTATCACCAGAAAACTTCGCCCAAATTTTTTTTTCTTTCATTTTTTTTTACAAAAATACGATTGGATTGCCATCTGTTGCATTGTGTGGTTGACAAAATTTTGGTAAATAACATCGGTTACCGCCCCGTTCTGAGAGTTATTACTCAGTGGAGATAGGCCGTGCTGTGAAAAACCCTGTCGGTGTGCAAATTCGTTTTTTTTCTCCGAATAATCTTTAATGTAAGGGAGGGTGGGGTCAATTGTAACATTTCTTACTTAACTATTTTTAACTAACAAACAATTCAATATATTATTAGTATTAATTGACAGACGAGTAAAGTAGACTATCCACCACTAGAAAAAAAAATACCTTATTTTAAATGTTATTATATTAGTTATTAACAATTTTTGACAGTCGTGCACTTGTTACAATTGTCCCCACTTACGAGGTCAATTGTAACAGTTCATAAATTCAACTGAAACATGGTTAATTATACATATTATCATAGTTGTGATATATTTTTTATTGATCAAAATAGTAGTGATATTTTAGGAGTAAAAATAATAATGAGTAGAGACCTAAAGGGTTAAACTTTTAACTTTAAGGGGTTAAAAATTTTAATTTATGCGGTGAAAAGTGACAAATAAAATAATGCACATGCAACCTAATATAAATGATGTAGGAAACTATTGGTGGTTCTTAAAGAGTTGAGTAATGGTTTGTAAACATAAGATTATTTATTTTCAGCTGTTACAATCGTCCCCAAGACGCCATTTCAGCTTCATTTGTTAAAAACAATGCTAGTTAATTAACAAAACTAATCTTTTTCTTTTGAAATGTTAATTAAGGTGTCCACTTACACATTCGGTTAATAATTTTTATTTGTTTAAACAAAATTACTTTGTTACAATATAATATTCTAATACCAAAAAAAGTACTTACGTATCGTGAAAATATCTTTTGTGATGTAACTCTTTCAAAAGTACATAAAAATGGTTGCCAGCAGGTGTGTACACGTAGATTTATTAAATACACCTTGTGCCCCACCTAGGAACCAAATCTAGAACCCGACATTCGAAATTTTTGCTTTGTTACAATCATACCCTGTTACAATTGACCCCACTCTCCCCTACATAAATCGTTTCCCTTCTTGAATTTCTTAGAAGTCGTTAAAATAACGATCATATTGTATAGAAAATATATAATTATTACAATTTCATGTAAGCATATTTTATTAATATGTTAATCGCAACGAAATGAAAGCATAGCTGGATTTGAAAAATAATCAAATGTAACAGAAAAAAAAAGAATTAAACTTTAGAATACAGAATATTCGACATAAAAAGCACTAATAAAAAATAAGTAATTTTATTTGCTAATAATATGTAATAATAACCTTACATCATTAAACTGTTCACATTGGATACAGTTTTTGTATTTTTAGAAATTTTAATAAAAATTCTAAGATTTATATATGTATATATATAAAATTATAATATATATTATTAAATTATATGTAAAAAAATATAATCTGGCAACATCTAACCTGTTTTATTTTTCATTTATTCATTTTTTTGTTGTTCTTTTCATACCAAGTTAAGCGAGAGCTTATGAAATAAAAATCGCCAGAGAGCAAAGCTCTCCCCCCCCCCCAAAAAAAAATAATAAAAAACTGACAACCCTAAATAACTTTTGATTTAATGATCGGATCTTCAAGTTCTAGGACTCAGTCTTAGTGGTTTGAGGGGGTGACCTCAAGTATTCTAATTAATAAACGCAGGCGATATTTTGAGTTACGACAGTGCTTCCTAAAGTGTGGTTCGCGTACCCCCA